TTTGCACCTTTTGATAGTGCCTTGAAATAAATGAGACTTGAGAAAATTCTGGTACTCTGTCCCAACATCATAGAGCTGTGCAAGGAGTAACCTCAGTTTGGAATTTTCTAAAGCATGGTGATGATTGCACACCAAAGATGATTAGTTTTGAGCCGGGCATTGGTGGCGCACGCCTTTAATCCCACCACTCGGCAGGCAGAGGCAGGCAAATCTCTGTGAGTCCAAGGCCAGCCTCCAAAACAATACAGAGAAACCCCGTCTTGAAATACAAAACAGAAAAAAAGATGATTTGTTTTGTCACTTGGATCATTTGGAGTTGGTGTTTCAGACCTCTGTAGTGTATGTAGCTGAAGAATGGTGGGTTTGTTGGTCCTGTGGGCCTGAGGTGGGCAGGGTGATGTCTTTATTTTCTTCTATGCTATTAGTTTTTGGAATGGAAGAACCAGACTTCCAGAAGGACTCTTACATGTTCCGTGATAAAGACACTGATGTCATCAAGAGAAAGAAATGGATTCCCTTACAGGTTGTTGATGTCCAGTCTCAGAATGATCAAAAGACCAAATTCCAGGTCTGTCTACACCCCTGCATTTGAACACACTCAGTGTGTGCAGTGGACACAATGTGTGGGCGCAGTCTGGTCACCAGCCTTCCCTCACTGTTGATTTGTTGACATGCCTTATTCTGACACCATGTGTATTTCTGTGTGTTTCACCAAGGTGTTGCTTTTTCTGGCACTTAGCAAGCTGGTTTGGCAGCAACAGATGTGTAGAGTCTGTATAAATCTTACACTTGATAGAGCACTGATGTACATACTTAATTGTAATTCTTCATTCAGGGGCATTTGCGCCTCAACCACACACCATCTGAGACGTACAGGTTGGGCAGCTTCTGATTGCCTGTTATGAATTTGTTAGTAAAAGCTTTCACGTTTTTGTTTTCTCTAGAATGGTTGTCTAAAAGCTCCCTCCTCCACCTTCCCTGGAGAGGTACCCCATGCAAATCAGTGTATCAGACTTGGAATAGCAGAGAGCTGTAACTACACTTTGGTTTTGCTCTGTCCCCACTCCAGCAGCTACAAGAAAGCTTCCAGACGTGAAAAAGCACGGCTGTGCCACAGCATGGTGCCAGTGCTCTCGGCTGACAGCTGCAGCATTCCCGGGCCCCAGGGTGAGATGGCTGTGGGTGTCCCCTACAGCAGCCCACAGCGGCTCCCCTGCTGCTGGCCAGTGTGGACCTCCCCATTGCCATTTTCTCAGTCAGGCCTGAGGAAATGCAGGGAGAGGAAGTCTCCGAGGGTGCACCAAACAGCGCGCTGCAGCGGCATCCTGCACTGAGTGGTGGAGGGTGGCATCCCTTGGCCCTCCCTTCATAGCAGTGCCGTCTCTCACAGCTCCCTCATGCTCTTAGAGGGTACGCCTAACTTTTCATGGCAGAGACCTCTGGTATGCTTGAATGTGAACTCGGGGCATGTTGAGTCTTAAGGGTTAGGGGACCACCTGCCGATCACGAATGCTCTCCCTCAATTTTGGAATGCCATCCTGACATGAGACTTGTTTATATTTGCATAAAAGAACACAGAATTTGAATGGCCCCTACCTATCACAGACTCTGATACAGTTCTGTGCACTGTGGGTAATATGCCCTGAGATAGCCTAGTGGCAGAATAGCTCTAGTGGTATTAAGTCCTAGGTAACTACGCATCCATCAGTGGGGCTACGTGTGAATCTGGAGGACTAGTAGGGCGGTAATGTGTGTCCTCAGGGTGGGTATGAATGTTAAAAGGGATGTGGAAGTCTGCTGTATCTGCATCTCATCCATGCCCCTAATCAAGACCAGGTTAAGAGCCCAGCGTGGGGCCGGGCGTTGGTGGCGCACGCCTTTAATCCCAGCACTCGGGAGGCAGAGGCAGGCGGATCTCTGTGAGTTCGAGGCCAGGCTGGACCGACAGCCTCCAAAACAGAGAAACCCTGTCTCGTAAAACCAAAAAAAAAAAAAAAAAAAAAAAGCCCAGCGTGACCCTAGTACAGAAAAATGCTGCAGAACTGCTTGTGCCCAACTGTAACCAAGAGATGTGACTATGGGGTGATGCCTGTGTATGAGTGTTCTGTCTGGATGTGTATCTGTGTACCCTATGTGTGCCTAGTGCCCACAGAAGTCAGAAGAGGGCACCAGGTCACTTGGAACTGGAATTATGGACATCTGCGAGCAGCAATGTGGGTTCTAGAAATCAAGTCCAGGTCCTGTGTCAGAACAAGGGATCTGAATCACTGAGCCGTCTATCCAGCCGCTCCCATGTGACCTCAGGGGAGTTCCTTCTCAGACGCAGGTCCTGATAAGACTTCTCTTGCCCGGCTTCTCTGAAAGTTTGGCAGAGACTGTGGATTGGGAGCTTTTGCAGGACGGTTACTACAGTGTAGTAGCTTATCCTGCATGTGACTGTCCACTTTGTGAATCTACTGTGCCGTGCACACCTGCCCGTTTCCTAAGGCGGGACCTAAGCAGCTCTGACTTCCCCTTTCCTATTTAAACACATCTACAGGTTTCATCCACACGCATGCACACATGTACACACAGGAATTATCCCTCTTGTAGGTCAGAAATCTGATAAACCCTCCTAACTGGTTTTCAAAAGTCAAACAGGTCGTCCTGTCCCTTGGAACTCGGGTGTGGAGAGTAAGGGAGTAGCCAAGGTGGTGGTGTTTCTCAGCACTTTGGGCCCTTACAAGGTTCGTCTGAAGGCACTAGCATCCCCCCAAAAAGCTCTCCCGGAGCCCCAGAGATCATTTTGTGAACCAAACTTGCCACACACAAGCATCTTTGGTCATCATGGTGTTCACTGTCTGGCTTCCTGTAGACTCAGAGACCTTGCTGCTTGAAGTGTACCATGTGCACGTTTGGCTTAGAAGATGGATGCAAATTACTTTCAGTACCAAAAGCTTTTTTTCTTTTCAGATCTTCCTCTGTAGCCCCATCTGGCTATAGCTGTGCTGCAGGGATGCAACACTGCTTATCTGGCTCCTGAAGTCTTATTTCCTATAATTACCAGTCAGTAACAGTGTAGCAAAACCTAATTATTCAGTCTGATTTATTGGGGCTTCTCATCTTTAGAACTGTGTATGTTGGGGGGGGTGAAGTTGAGTCTTGGAAGAGACTTAGGCCCAGGGTAGGGTCTGGGAGTTGCTTTTATTGACGAACCCAGTCATCTGGACCCATACCACCCGGCTTCTCAGAGAAAGCCAGGATGACATAAGCAGCAAGGTGTGAGTCACTCGGCTCAAGGAAGCTTCCTTGAGCGTGGCATGGCTCCCCCCTGCCAGATTTGTATAACAAAACAGATGACATGAGTCTGGCAGATGCACTCAAAAGACACAGCCTTTGCTCACGACCGACCGAGCAGTGAGGAGCCTGTTGTGCTTGGCTGACTATGACAGGTATTACCTACCTGCTCTCCACAAGGAACTTTCCAACTTGAACACAAAGATGGTTTTGTGAGTTGGGTGTGGGGCAGCTCACAGTATCAACTAAAGCGTGTCCACCTCAGCTGGTGTTTCTCACCTTCCAGCCAATGCCATCTTCTTTCAGGCATTTCTGGCTGTACCCATACCTTCTGCTTCAGTGACTGTGGGAGCCTGGGGAGGAACGCCCCCAATCCCTATCCATAGCCCAAGAACTCAGACCTCTCTTGCCCCAGGGCCTAGGCGATGCTGGGGTCTGTGCCCCCCCCCACTGCCTTGGCTACTTAACTAGCTATTCACATGGTGGCCAGTGTTATCCCAACACTGAGGGGGTGGGGACCCTGTCCTCAGAATTTGCTGTTAAGTCTCCCCTGTACCTTGGCCTCACCTGTCCTGTCAACTCTGGCAGCGTAACCGTCCACCTTACTACTTACACTCCGGCCTGAGATGTACACCCAACACTCCGTGGCTGGTCCTGCAGACCTCATGTGTCTTGTGGGTCCCTTCCCTACTTTTGTCCTCCTGTCCCCAGAACAGTGACCCCTCCAGAAATGCCAAACGCCGCCTGCTCTGTGATTCTGGATCTTTCATACACAGTTTTCTGGAGAGAGTCACATAATAAAGTGAACACCTAGAAGAGAACAGACTTACTAGTGCCCTATACTAACTAGCCAGCAATGCCTGGGCTCCTAGGGAAGCAAGCCTCTCTCTGCCATCATCTCTACGTCTAACTGATGAAGATGGACCTTGCTTTGAGGTACCGGGAATTGAATCCAGGACCTCACTCACATATGCCGAGCACACCCTAGCCTCGGGTCCCAATATTTTTAGTACAAATGTGTACTACGGTGAAGACCTGTTGTGGGCTGGGCTGTTGAAGGTTGGGAAGGCATTCTGTGGAGGGCGGAGAGAAAGGGGGAGATTCTGAGGGCAGCGGGAAGCCTGTAGTTGACCTGCAGCAGTGTGGGGGAGGGATTTACTTAGGAGAGCTGGGAATAAAGAAGGGTTGAGCCCTTAGACGGAAGGAGCCTCAGAAGCCTGCAGTTGAGGTGTGGCTGGGACCCACCCTAGCACCTAGCGGGTCAGTGCTAATGATGAGTGCACAGAACTCCTTTGCCCAGGATTTCAAGGCCAGTGGCCACCCTACCCTCACTGCCCTTCGCGCTCTCGGCAACTCAGTTCTGCCCCCAAAGTTCCATTTTTAAGTTGACTGCCCTAAAGTTTTACTGTCTGCATTTAGTTATGGATTGGTCCCTAATTTTCACTAGACCCTAGCACAGCCCTATGCGCTCTTCCATCACAACACCCCCCCCTCCAGGGCTTGTAGAAAGGATCAGAGCCCCATACTACTCTGAAAGTCTCTGCGGGCCTGTCTGGGGCCACAATCCCCCAGGGAATTCTCTCCCCCAGCGGGAAAGGCCAGTGGTAAGCCTGGGTTGAGCAGCTGGAAGGTCCGCGGCCCTGCCTCCCCAGACATCGGTGGGGCGGGACTGAATTCCGGGGGCGACACGTCCTAGGAGAGCTAGACGGAAGCACTGGGACTGACACGTGGACTTGGGCGGTGCTGCCCTGTGGGTTGGCCTGGGCCTGAGGCGGGACGGCACCGTACTGGGACACAACGGGTGTCCATGCCATCCCAGCGCCCCAGCCTGATGCAGCCAACAACAGAGGAGACCCGCAAGACCCCATTTGCAGCAGCAGAGGATACACAATGGTCCAGGTGAATGGGGATGTGTTTGGCGCCGGGGCAAGGAGGACTTTTGCGTTCAGGGAGACGCTACTTCACGGGACCTGAGTTCAGGGAGCACCAGACTCTAAGGGCGCCTCCCAGCGTCTCTGTATATAGCCTGTCACCTTCACTTCTACTGGGACTGGCATGCTCCTCCCTGGGGCAGCCTTAGCCCCTAAGAGGAGGGAGGACACAGATGCTCAACCCAGTAAAGGGACCCTCCTCTTCTAATCCAATACCAAAATCTGGCCAATGGTTCCTTCGCCCTTCTTCCTGCTAGTATTCCTGCTAGTATTCTGAGGTCCGGGGCACTTTGATGGGGGCATTGAGCTAGACAGATCTACCGGGCGGAATTTCAAGTTCCTCCTAGAGCAGCAGCTGAGAGGCACAGCACCTGATCTCAACCCTGCCAGTGACAATTAGGGGGAGGGCCAGAAGAGGAGCACTGTGTGCCTGCCCTCACTTGCTCTCCTTGCTCTCTGATTTACTGCCTCCCTCCCTACCCCGTGTTTATCCTAACGCCTCTGCTTCACCTGCCCCCCCCCCGAGTCGCTACCCTGGGCTTTCTCAGAACTGAACTGTTCTGCCAATTTTGCTGTAGGTTACAATTTAATGGCTCTGCCTGGCCCTTGTCTTTACTGCTCCCCCTCTGTGTTTGCTCCAGTCACCTTTGGCAGAGGTGGTGGCTGAGAATTCCGGGGGATTTTGCAGGGTCAAGGTCACCCTCCACTCTTATGTGGGGGGTAACAGTAACGGCATTAAATACTCTTGTCTACCCACCATCTCCTCCAGTCCTCTTTGTGACTTTGGGAGGCAGATTTGGAGGTGTGGGGAGGTTGGTAGAGACTGAGTTAGGGGGGTATGTATGGTACTGGGGTACGCTTTGGTCTGTCTGGTGCCCTGGCCATTAATGCCAGCACATTTCCCCTTTCTGAACCAAGGGCCATGTGACCACCTGTTTGCTCAGCCCCGGATGCTCTGCACAGGCCAATCTGCAGGAAACCAAGGCTGCAGAAGTCTGGGAGGAAGTATCATGCCCACTGAGAGTGCCAGCCTGAGTTCTGGCTCCAGTTGAGCAGGTGGAACTTTTCAGGCAATCCTGACTCAAGCTCCTGGTCCTAAAGAGCCCTCTGCAAGAGGAGGGATCTTGGAGTTGGGGTTCTAACTAGTCCTCAGGCAGCTGGCCTGGAAGGGACCCTCCAGGAGGACTTTGATGTTGCCTAGGCTTTTTCTGAACTCTCATGGCCACCAGGAAGCTAAAGACACTTCTCATCTAGAGGGTGTGGGTCTATTTGGCTTTCTGCTTTTAACTGGTCTCTGGCAGTAACAACAGGGATGGGCAGCCACAGGTGCACCCAGAAAGAGTGGCCAGCTGGGTGGGTCGCATAGAGGAATAAAACTCCCTGGTTTTTGTTTTACTTTGTTTTTAAGATTTTTTTTTAATGCACACTGTGCAAGCCAGAAGAGGGCACCATATCTCACCACAGATGGTTATGAGCCACCATGTGATTGCTGGAAATTGGAACTCAGGACCTTTGAGCCATCTCCCCAACCCCAGAATAAAGCTCCTTTTTTTTTTGTTTTTGTTTTTTTTTTGTTTTTCGAGACAGGGTTTTTCTGTGGCTTTGGAGGCTGTCCTGGAACTTACTCTGTAGACCAGGCTGGCCTGGAACTCACAGAGATCCACCTGCCTCTGCATCCCGAGTGCTGGGATTAAAGGCGTGCGCCACCCAACGCCCGGCTAAAGCTCCTTTTTTAAGACACCTTCAGACGGTGTGACTTTTTGTGGGTTAGTTAATGTTGCTCCCGGGATCCTGCTGTGCCTCTGGTCAGCAGAAACAAGCCACCTATACTGCATCGAGTCCTCACCTAGGGGTGGGCTACTACAAGTGGGGCAACACTTCAAAGCACGCAGGACACCCTCCAGGGCAGCTTTAATGCTTGATTGGACTCCCCGAGTTTTCAGTAATGCAGTGGCAATATTTGCTCAGGACACTGTCCTGACAAGAAGTGAGAGCAGAATTGGGTATGTGTGTGTGTGGGGGGTTGGTTTGCTCTGTTCTGGGCCCTTACTGGGAAGAGTTCTGCCAAATCCAAGAACAGACTCTTCAGGAGCTAGGAGGGGAAGGCCCAACTCCTAGAGGCCTGAGAAAGAATCAAGCTAGACTATGCCGTGTACATGTGGTACCAGCTAACTGGCAAAATCTTACTTGAACCAGCTGATATCCAAATTCACTGAAGAGCAAGGCACCAGGGCAGATGAGGCTTAGCATACCCTTTCACTGTCAGACCCATGCTGTCCGCAGAATTCTCTGGGCGGATGTTAATCCAAAACTTGAATGTTTAAGAAGCTAGCACCGGGTGTTGGTGGCGCACGCCTTTAATCCCAGCACTCGGGAGGCAGAGGCAGGTGGATCTCTGTGAGTTCGAGGCCAGCCTGGTCTTCAGAGAGTTCCAGGACATCCAAGCCTGTTTCACAGAGAAACCCTGTCTCGAAAAACAAAACAAAGAAGGAGGAGGAGGAGGAGAAGAAGAGGAAGAAGAAACAGCTAACAGCACACACCTTTAATCCCAGCACTCAGGAGGTAGAGGCAGGCAGGAAGATCTCTATAAGTTGAGGCCAACCTGATCTACACAGTGAGCTCCAGGACAAAATAGAGAGGCCCTGTCTTTTTTTTTTTTAAGGTTTATTTATTTATTATGTATACAGTGTTCTGTCTGTATGTATCTCTGCAGTCCAGAAGAGGGCACCAGATCTCATTTCGGTTGGTAGTGGTTGCTGGGAATTAAACTCAGCCAGTGCTCTTAACCTCTGAGCCATCCCTCCAGTCCTGAGAGATCCTGTCTTAAAAAAAGGAGAAGCAGCAGCAGCAAGTAGTTAGTAGCTTACACCTGTAGGCCTAGCACCCAGAAGATTGAAGCAGGGGAATTGCTTTGAGTCTGAAGTCACCTTTGGGGGTAGGGGCAGAGAGAGAGAGAGAGAGAGAGAGAGAGAGAGAGAGAGAGAGAGAGAGAGAGAGAGAGAGAGAGAGAGAGAGAGAGAGAGAGAGAGAACGCTCACTTTGCTTGCTACCCTTCCGTCCAGCTAAGCCCACCAGTCTACCATGTGACCTTAAATACACCAGGAAGTTAATTATCCTCAAAGCTCTTCTCAGGAAGCATAAACCTGGCCCCCATTGTTGGGTCACACACCTTACTCTAAGAGATCCTTTCTTAGTTGGAAGCCCAGCCAGGGTCTATTCCCCCTCTGAGTCTCTTTTGCCTCCCCACTGTCCAGTGTACAATAAACCCCACTCAAGGGGGAGTCCTGAGCTCCCAGTTGCACTACTATGTGGGATCTAGCTGCAATAGCAACCTAGCCCTGCCGGAATTCCTCCGGGGAAAAGTCCCCCCCACAGTTCTATATCCTCTTTTGGCTGCCTCCCTTTCTGGGAAGGCTCAAGAACTCTCCAGGAGACCTTGATTGTACTCCTGATTGTACTCCTCCCCGAAGCCTTCTGCTCTCCATGAACCTTGCCTCTTTTGGGTTCCCCTGCTTAGCACATTGCCCTGCAAGTTGTTAACCGTCTGCTAGTTCTGGCTCCCTTTCTGCAATCACGTGGTCAGCAAGAGACGTGAGGATATGGGCAGTGCTCGTGTCTGGTCCTCAACTTGGGACCCTTGTGCAGTCACAAGCATGGACCCAGGCTCTGAGTCTTGTGAATGTGCTGTCATGTATTTAGCCTCAGGCCCCCATCCTGAGGCCTCTTGTACTGTTCTCTGTAACGTGTAGTCTTCCTGCCCGCTGCCTGGGTCCTGTTGCTGCTTTCAGCCCCCAAATAACACACGGGACGCTATATTAATTATGAAGCTGTTGACCGTTTGCTTGGCTTCTTATCAGTTATCTCTGACTTGATTATTAACCCACAATTACTAATATATATTTTATAAGAACTTATCTTTTTGAGGACGCACTCCTGAGCGCCCATTGCTCCCGGGAGATCACGCGGCGACAATTCTTTTCACTACATTTCCCAGAATCCTGATAGACTCCTAGTCCCACCTATCTTGCTTCCCTATTGGTGCTTTATTGACATATACGCAGAAAGACGTCCCCCATCGTCTCCTCTTTTCTGTCTAAATAAAAAGAAAGGATTTAACTTTAACATAGTCAAATTACATAGAACAGAACAGTTATCAAGCAAGAACTATAGTTACAATATTTAGTCCATGAACATTTAGTGAGATTTAAAGAAAGTATTTTTTATCCTATCTTTGTGAGTCTAAAGTCTTATATGTAGCTTATCTTTTATCATAACTAAGGAAAACTATAACTAGCTGTCTTGAACGCCATTAAAGACCACAGAAGGATAACATAATTTCTGAAATTGACAGAGACACAGTTCTCAGCCCCTGGGTTTAGTATTGGCCTTGTCTGAGTGATCAAGGCTGTCTAGGGGCCCTCTCCAGATCCTGACCACTCTCTGTGTCTCACAGGCCTGAGTGCCAGGCGTGGACGGGGATGCTGCTCCTGGGCACCTGCCTGCTGTACTGCACTCGAGTCACCATGCCCGTCTGTACCCTTGCCATGAGCCAGGACTTCGGCTGGAACAAGAAGGAGGCTGGTATCGTGCTCAGCAGCTTCTTCTGGGGCTACTGCCTGACTCAGGTGGTGGGCGGCCACCTTGGGGATCGGTAACCAAGCCCCTCTCCCCGTTGCTCAGGCTTGAAGGGGGAGGGGGGCCATCATCTGGGTGCCTCCGAGAGGCAGTATGGTCAGCCCTGCCCTTGCGCACGCGAGAGGAGGGGCCGAGGGGGTTAGAGCTCAACAGATATTTGGCAGTGGGCTTAGCCTGTGGGAAGAGGAGGTCTAGCGTGGCAGCCCGAGCAGTGGGTAAGAAGCATGAAACGGGCCGGGCGTTGGTGGCGCACGCCTTTAATCCCAGCACTCGGGAGGCAGAGGCAGGCAGATCTCTGTGAGTTCAAGACCAGCCTGGACTACCAAGCGAGTTCTAGGACAGCCTCCAAAGCCACAGAGAAACCCTGTCTCGAAAAACCAAAAAAAAAAAAAAAAAAAAAAAAAAAGAGCATGAAACGGACAGGCAGGACTCGGTCCCATACATTCATATACTACACTCAGCCAGCCCCGGGCCCCTCCCCTATACGGCAGGCGGCTGCAGTGCCTGCCGCAAGTCTCTGTACAGTGGTTAATGGTGGTGCCTCTCAGAAAGTGCGTCATCCTGCCTCTGTGTCTCCCTCCAGCATCGGAGGCGAGAAGATCATCTTGCTGTCAGCCTCCACCTGGGGCTTCATTACTGTCGTCACACCCTTGATCGCTCACCTTGGCAGCGGCCACCTGGCCTTCATGACATTCTCACGCATCCTTATGGGTCTGCTGCAAGGTAAGGGCCATCTCCAGCTTCCTCCCTCTGATGTGGCCATTCACCCTTGCCAGGAAACGCTGGACAGAGCACCATCCACACTGCGTGCCAGCTATACTACCCTTTTGCTCAAAAGTCTACTCTGCCATAACCGGGGAATGGGGACGTGGGTGTCTTGACATGCCTTTGTTATCTCTGGGCTGAGAGAGGTGACAGAGTTCCCCAAATCCTGTGGCTCTCCTTCTTCACAGGGTCTTTGGGTCTTTGGCTTCTGGAGTGGTCCCGGGTCCCACTCTCTCAAGGAGCAAGAAACTGCCTTCTGAGGAGCCCCATGTACTGACATGGTGTTTAAAAAGTTCCAAAGGGGAAGCAGACTAATGCTTCCTGCCTCCCCATTGTGAGTAATTAACAAAAGGGAAGCCGTGGGTTCCTATTGTCACACCCACAAAGGAACCTCTCCTATAGCCCCTCAATGGAGAGAATACTCAAGCTTTTTTATTTGAGATGGGGGGGGGTCTCACTAGGTACAGCCCTGGCTGTCCTGGAACTCACTCTGTAAACCAGACTGGCCTCAAACTCAGAGAGGTCCACCTGCCTTTGACTCCTGAGTGCTGGGATTAGGGTTGTGTCCCCCGTTATTTCCAAGCTTTTAAGCTGCCTACGAGCCAAAGAGGAAACGTATCTATCAGAAGAGTAGGTAGAGGTACTTTCCCGGGAGGGTACACGTGTGTACATGGCATACATATGGAAGTGTCTGAGGGTGCCAGAACACAGCTGAGAATCTGCTGTGTAGTCTGCGTGTGTGTGTGTGTGTGTGTGTGTGTGTGTGTGTGTGTGTGTGTGTGTGTGTGTGTGTTAGTGGGAGGGAGGGCAACCGTTAGGTGTCTCCGGGGAGCTGACGTGGGGCATATAAACACATGTGTGTATACACAACAGCCTGGGAACAGAGGTAGCAAGGAGCAAGATCTCCAATGGATGTTTTGTGTCACTCTGAATAATTCTCACCCTGAGTTAGTTTGGCTTCTTACCTAAAATGTTGCCAAAAGCCCAGCCCCGCCGCTCCCTTACAGTCCAGGGAGGTAATGGAAAGGAGATGTGGGCGTCCTCTGGATTCACAGCCCAAACCCAAGTGGCGTCCTGCCCTCACTGGCTCTCTCTTCTGACAGCATTCTCTGCTGTTTCAGGTGTTTACTTCCCTGCCCTGACCAGTCTGCTTTCCCAGAGGGTGCAGGAGAGCGAAAGAGCGTTTACCTACAGCACTGTGGGAGCTGGCTCCCAGTTCGGGTAAGGTTCCCACCTCCCAGGGATTCAGGAAGCTTTCTCCACCCTTTCAAGTCCAGCAGTGGGTGGCCAGAGTAGAGGTGCCTGAGGGCTCAGTTGGCTAGTGCTTAGGTTCCAAGGGCTGGTCGCACCGCTCCTCAGGTCTGTGAGAAGTGCAGCATTTGCTGCTGGGACAAAACAACTGACCAGAAGCAGATTAAGAAGGCAGGCCTTGGTTTAGCTCACAGTTTGAGGGTACAGCCTATCATGTCGGGGAGTCATGACAACAGGAGTATGAGGTAGCTGGACACACTGCCTCACCGTCAGAAGTTAAGAGATGCATGCTGGGACTCTGCTCACTTGCTCCTTTTTTGGGGTGTTTTTTGTTTGTTTTGCTTTTGTTTCTTTGTTTTGAGACTGTGCGCTCTGGCTGGCCTGGAACTCACAGAGACACCCTTGCCTCTGCCTCCCCAGTGCATTCTTAGAATTAAAGGTGTCTGCCACCACACCAGCTTACTTTCTCCCTTTTATCCAGCCCAGAACTCTCTAGCCTGTGTTTTGGTGCTGTCAACACTCAGGATAGTTCTCCCCCTCCCTCTCTGCAGTTTAACTTTTCCGGAAATACCTTTATAGACACACCCAGAGGTGTGTTTCCGTGATGATCCTAAATCTTGTCAAGTTAGCAATAAAGGTGAAACCATCCCAGCATGTGTCTGTCTTTCTGGATGCTGTGAGCTGGGGCTTGCCATGTGGACTGGGTGACCATCAGCTTTACCAGAGGGGAGCCAGTGGGGAGCCAGAGGCTACCCCACCCTCTGTGAGACATGGCTATACATGGAGGAAGGGCCACTAACTGGTATATTGGTGGGCTCATGGGATGTTAGTGAATCGCCCAGGCCTGGATCTACCTACTGTTGCTGAGTTTGGGATGGGGAGCGGAGTGGGGCGGGGGTGGGGTGGGAGTGGGAGCACAGTGGCCGCCCGTGTGAGAGGCCAACTCTGCTGATCAGGGTGGCCTGATTTAACACTAAAAGCACAGTTAGTTCACATTTGGGAAGTGTGAATGTCAAAGAAGCAGTAAGGCTCAGATTCTACAGAGGGGTGCAGTGCACATCTTCAATCCCAGCTCCGATGTCCCGCACAGCACAGCAGATGGGGGGGGCCTGTGCATGGTCAGGAAGGATGGGGAGAGAAAGTGCTGCCCCAGGCGCTGTGCCTGGGGGCACAGACGAGAACACAGGGAGGTGGACGGCAGCTCAGCCTCGCACCAGAGCCCAGTGTTCTCTCTCTCTCTGTCTTGGGGGTTGAAGGGTGAGGCAGAGCCACCCTTTACTGCATCTGGGACCAGGGTGCCCTGGAGTCAAAAGGAAGAGGAAGGTTGTGGGATTTGGCTTTGGCATTGGCTCTTAGAAGTTTTTCCTGGAATGCTATCTGTTACGGTGGCATCCATATACCCAAAGGGTCTGGGATGGGAGTTCCACCCAAGGCCCCTCCCCCATCTCCCTCCAAGCCCTGCTGCAGCTCAGAAAGCCCACCAGCTGATGTCCCCTTCCCCGGGAATACTGGGAGTATTTAAACTGTCCCCCTTTCCTGTCTTCTCTATGGAAGGGCTTGAAGGCCATCTGGGAGTGTTGTATCCATTAAACGTGGGCTTTTTTTTTTTTTTTTTTTTTTTTTTTTTGGTTTTTCGAGACAGGGTTTCTCTGTGGCTTTGGAAGCTGTCCTGGAACTCGATTGGTAGTCCAGGCTGGTCTCGAACTCACAGAGATCCGCCTGCCTCTGCCTCCCGAGTGCTGGGGTTAAAGGCGTGCCCCACCAACGCCTAGCAAACGTGGGCTTTTTCTAATTTGGTTTGATTTGGTCTGATTTGGATTGCCGCATCTGCATCGGGGCTTATGGGGGGGGTAGAAACTTTTCATTTTCCTTTATAGTGTATGGAGGGGGGAGAGGAAAAAAAAAGAAAGGAGTTTTTTCACGTCAGTGTTTCCTAAGCTACCCTTTCATGGTTACCTTTTCTTCCTCCCACGCATTCACATGGCAAATTGTGTGCCAATCTGAAGGTCTAGAGGGAAGAAGTTAAAAGCCCCCCGCAGTGGCAGCAGACACCCCTGCTGAGATCTCCTTAGCTGCTCCCAAATTCCCCTTGCCCCAACCCTCCCACAATAGGTGAGGCAGGGCTCTGAGCAGCTTCCTTCCCTGGGGGCTTGACTCGTTCCTGGGTAGCCACCGTGGTCACTGCAGCACTCCTCCATATCTCCCAGGACCCTGGTGACCGGGGGCATAGGCTCGGTGCTCCTGGACTGGTGCGGCTGGCAGAGCGTCTTCTACTTCTCCGGAGGCCTCACCTTGCTCTGGGTGTACTATGTGTACAGGTGCCTGCTGAACGAGAAAGGTAACGGCGGCCCAGCCCTTGTGCCTCCTCCCCCTTGCAGCAATGCTTCAGACCACCCACTTCGTGAACGTTTTCTCTGGGAAGATTGAATAAACATGTGCTCACCCCGGACAGGGCACCAACAGCAGACCAGAGAAACAACTCCACTCAAGTCTAGCTTGGTCTCACCCCAGCATGGATGGAGTCCCTTTTTTTTTTTTTTTTGGTTTTTCAAGACAGGGTTTCTCTGTGGTTTTGGAGGCTGTCCTGGGACTCGCTCTGTAGACCAGGCTGGCCTCGAACTCACAGAGATCCGCCTGCCTCTGCCTCCCTAGTGCTAGGATTAAAGGCGTGCGCCACCAACGCCCGGCTTAGAGTCTCCTTCTTACCTAATTTCCCAAGCCGCTTGTGGCTGGGGCAATATTACAAAAAAAAAAAAAAAAACCAGCATAGGCAAGTCTACAATCCCAGCATTTGGGAGGCTAAAGCAGGCTTATCCCCGAGTTTGAGGCCAGTCTGGTCTACAGGGTGACCAGGGCTACCAGCTCTGAAAACCCAAGTGCTGATCCTTTAGCCTGCCCCAGCCCTGGGTTTTCATCATAATTGTTCCACTGGGGCTAAGGCTGACAAATGGGAATCTAGCAGATGAAGTCTTCAGGTAGCAAGATGAGGCCTCAGAGGGACTCAGGCCCAGGTTAGACACAGAACTGTACTCTCAGGGGGTATTGCCACCTGATAGCCACTTCTTATAAGGGAGTGTAAGATGCATCTGCCTAGCGGCTCCTAAATGACTGTGGTGTTAGGGATATCCATGGGGTACCTGGCCCTGAGAGCTATCACTGTGAAATCATTTGTTCCCCTAGATCTTTTTCTGGCCCTGGGTGTCCTGGCGCAAGGCCTGCCTATGGCCAGGCCCTCCAAAGTGCCCTGGAGACAGCTCTTCCGGAAGCCCTCTGTCTGGTGAGCTCGGGTTGGCACGGCCAGGCAGAGCATGGGTGAGGACAGGGCATGGATCTGGCCGTGCTTGGCAGGACCCAGTCCTGACGACACCCCAGCAAATGCCCCGTGTTTCAGAGGGTAGGACCTTGGTGTCCCGGGGGGGGGGGGGCGGGAGGACTGGGTGCCACATGGCGTCAGTGTCAGGACTGGCAACCGGGTTTAGAACCCTGAGCCTGGTGCTGCCCACACAGGGCAGTGGTCTTCTCTCAGCTGTCCTCGGCTTGCTCCTTCTTCATTCTACTCTCCTGGCTGCCCACCTTCTTCAAGGAGACCTTCCCCCACTCCAAGGTAGGTAACGATGCCTGGGCCCTCGCAGAATGAAGAGGGCCAAGCAGGGGCTGTAGAGGCCCCTGGGTCGGGGGTGGACACCTTTGGCTTGTCAGCTCCATTTACTACATGGGCTTCAGGCCTTGGGATGACGGTTCATTTGGGAGGAGGCCATGAGAGCTACACACTATAATAACTATAGCTACCTCAGCCCAAGACTTTGACCTACTGCCCATGGGGTCCCACCCCCCTCCACTTTCAGGGCTGGCTAGCTAATCTGCTGATGCCACATCCAAGGGAGAGCCGTGAAGCCTTGAGTTCTTGGGCTGTACATTCCCAGGCAGACTGCCTTGGCTCTATCCCTGTCAGGGGAGCATGTGGGGGTGTGTGGCTTCAGGAGTTAGCCGTTAGTGGCCTCTATGCTTGCCCAGGGGGCTGGTAATGGGCTGGTTAAGGTCTAGACCCTCTGCTCTTAGGCCCAGCCTGTTGGTGGACAGTGTTCAACTGATACGGTGAACCTGGGGTGTGGTCCTCTTGCCTGGATGTTATCTGGAGGCTCAGTGCCACCCTGGCCACCTTTGAGGTTATGTCTCTCCCTGCAGGGCTGGATCTTCAATGTGGTGCCCTGGCTGCTGGCGATTCCTGCCAGTCTCTTCAGTGGCTTCCTCTCTGATCGCCTCATCAGTCAGGGTGAGTGTTGGGGGAGGGGGGGGATCGCCCTGGGTAAACCACAGGCTGAGGGGGGGGTCGTCTCACTGCCCCTCCGGCAATGCAGCTGCATCCCCAGGGGAAAGGCCATACCACCCTCCTGTGACCGACAGACCGTCCTTTAGAGTCTGCTCAAGAGATAGATGCAGCCTGTGCTGAGGAGTCCCTTGTATCTTTTTGGTCTCCCTTTTAATGGGTAGGGCTGGGGGGCAGCAAGGGGGACCCTAGTGAACACAATCTCCCAGACCCTCCACAGGGAAAGGAAGGAATCAGAAGTCACAGGTACCCAGATTTACTACTGAATCTGCCAGAGCTCCAAGGGGCCATACTGCAGCCCCAGAGGGCAATGTTCTTGCAGAGGACACACGCCCATGTGTGCTCAAGGTCAAGATACAGGTTTTCCTCAATAGAAAGCAGCACATACTCTCTGTGGTAAGATCAGATAATTTGAGGAAGCTCAGAGAAACTCAGCTAAGCTTGCCTGATAGCTGACACTTTGGTAATGGCCCAAGGGGCTGCCCATCCATATTTCTACCCAGACAGCACCACGGGAAACCCTCCGACACACATACTGTACATGGGAGGGTTCGGCCCATGATAGGAAATCTCCCATCTTGAGCCCTGAGGTGTTGCCCTGGGCACCCCCACTCCTCTTCTGTGACCTTGGGTGGGACCCCATTGAGGACACCTTTAAGGGTCACCCAGATAAGCTGATGGAAACTCATCGTGGGTCTGTCTCCCTGCCCAGGTTACAGAGTCATCACAGTGCGTAAGTTCATGCAGGTAGGAAAATCGTTTGAAGCCCTTGTCCTATTTTTCTGTTGCTGAGATCAGGCCCTGTGACAACATATGGAAGAAAGGGTTTATTTAGAGCTTCCAGTTTCAGAGGGTTGGAGTCCATGACCGTCATGGCGGGGAGCGTGGCAACACGGTTTCAGAGGGCTGGAACATGGCAGCACGGGCAAACATGGCCCTGGGGCAGAAGCTGAAAGCTCACATTTTGAGACACAACCACAAAGCAGAGAAAGATACGCACGGGAAATGGTGTGGCCTTTTGAAAACCTCCAAGACCACCCCTAGTGACACACCTCCTCCAACAAGGCCACACCTCCTAATCCTTCCCAAACAGTTCCACCAGCCGGAGGCCAAGTGTTCAAATGTATGACTCTATGGGGGTCATTCTTATTTAAACCACCACATCTTTCTGTGGACATCCCCTACTTTGTTCTGGACTCCTGGGACCTGAGGCTTGTGGACTCAAGTACCCTGATCTCTGGAACCAGGCTGAGATCCAAGATACGGGCTGGGAAAACTGCACCGTTGGTTTCATGGCCCCAGAAGCTCTTAGGTATTGGCAGGGTCGGCTCAGATTCAGAAGGAAGCCTGTGGAATATCAAGACATATCAGAGGTCAATTCACACCAATGGGACCCAGAAAAGGGCTGCTGTAGGTGGACCCTGGAGGATGCTCTGGGGTCTGTCTGTATTGGGTGACCTGGGAACCTTCTCTGAGTTCCGGACATGCTCTCTGCCCCACTTTGGGCCTGGTCACATAGAGTAGGGAAGCCCCAGCCTGGGAGGGGTTTTTAGGTTAAGAACCATCCTGCTCTTGCTCAGGATGCTAGTGGTCCTTGGGAGGGGCCGAGACGGGATGAGCTATTGGCCAGCATGGCTCTTGGTCTCTCACCAGTCCTGTCCTGCAGGTGATGGGCCTCGGTCTGTCAAGCATTTTTGCCCTGTGTCTGGGTCACACCACAAGCTTCCTCAAGGCTATGATCTTTGCATCAGCTTCCATTGGCTTCCAGACCTTCAACCACAGGTACGAGCGCACGGTCCCCTCCCACAGGGCTGCCAGGTGTTAGTGCATTCGGGTTCCGTGGTTTATGAATGTGGAGTTAGGGAAAGCTCACCATACATGATCTGCCTCAGTGAGCAGATCTGGGGACCGAGTCAGGGTCATTCAAGAAAACAGCAACACACGCCCCGCCCCGCCCCCACCATACTGGGAGGAGGGACCAGGAGGAGGAGTGACCTAAGCATCAGGCTTGATGCCCCTCTGCAGCCTGCTCCCCTCTTCTGCTTCGTTTTTCTTACCAAGCGCAAAGGCAGTCTCAAGCACCTCAGGAGCCCCGTTCACAGCTGTTTCAAATGAACGGACGGCGGGCCTGCGGCGAGCGTGTTCTTCTGGCCTTCAGGAGCAGCAGTAGGAGAGTGGGAGAGCTGGGGTGCAGGGTAGACAGTGCCAGCATGCCTAGCAGCACCTGGCAGGTAGGGGCAGCCTCAGGTCTGGGTATCTTTTGGTGACATATGACCCTGTCTTATGCTCTAGTAGCTCCTCTAGGCCAAGGGGAGGTGGCCAAGCCTGTGCTCACTCACACGCTTGCCTTCTTGTTTCCCTGCAGTGGTATTTCAGTCAACATTCAGGACCTGGCCCCATCCTGTGCTGGTTTTCTGTTTGGTGAGCCTCTCGCTTATCCCTCCTGCTTCATTCCCTACCCTTGCCAGGGGGCTACCCCAGGTGGTTGGGCGGTAGGAACAACGTGGGGGGGGGCGGGTCTTCTCATGCTGTCTGTCTCCTCAATTTCCTCTTCACAGGTGTGGCCAACACTGCAGGGGCCTTGGCAGGTAAGGGTTGGCTCCAGACCCAGAGGTCCTCTTGTTCTTTGGCTTGGGTCAATTAGGAAATGAGCTTAGGGTAGAGCTTAATGGAGTTCACCCCATCTCACTCATCCAGGGCGACCTAGTGGGGCCCCAAAGTCAAGGTACAGCGCAAGCCCCTAAATGGCCATGAACCATCACAGATACACCAGCTGAGGTATCACGTGACCTGGCTGATGGTGGTGGTGTGGGGACTCACAGGCCATTTTCCCCCGACTGACCCCAAGCGTTAATCAGTCCTGTAGTTTAGGGTACCACCTGGTCCCTCCGCCGAGTGCCTGGGCTAACAGAGGCTCACTCTGCCTCCTGATTCGTTTCCCTTGGGTGGGGCACGGTGTGGCGACGCCGTCAGTACATGATTCAGAATGGCCTGTGAGGTCTCTGCCCTCTGGGACTCCTGTGGCCCACGGCTCAGATTTCGAAGTTTATCCCAGGCTCTTCAGGGCATCTATACTTTGTGCCCTGTCCTCACCCTGGAACTCACTGGTGTGTGGGGGCCCGGCTTCCACGGAGCGTCAGTCAGTCTCTGCCTCTCTTGCCCAGGTGTGATAGGCGTGTGTCTGGGTGGCTATCTGATTGAGGCCACTGGCTCCTGGACGTGTATTTTCAACCTAGTGGCCGTCATCAGCAACCTGGGACTGGGCATCTTTCTGGTGTTCGGCAAGGCCCAGCGGGTAGACCTGGCCCCTGCTCATGAGGACCTGTAGCTTTCTACCTACCCAGACCCACCCAGGATCCTGATGTCGACAGCCTAAGGACAACAGCTGTGTTGGTGAAACCCTGCATCTGAACCTCAGATGTATTAGCATGGTCTCCCGGGGAACCCCTATGAGTTGGAGAGACTGGTGGAGACAGACGCCAGAACTCACACACAGGCCCGTGCCAGAAGTAGGGTCATGGCCTCCCTGAGCTTCAGCGGCCCCATCTGCTAGTCAGGACCATCCTGACCCTCCTCTCAGACTCAGCGGACTGCTGCCCGCTGTTGCGGATTCTGCGTTGCTGATGGGAGCCTTCTACCATCCAGTCCGTGCGGGTTGTTTCTACGATAAGTTGAACACATCTCTGTGTTGAAGATACGTCTCATGTGCTGGGAGGATGTTCAGGAGCAGCTCTGACACCTGCCGACTCTGGGCATCTTCCAACCTCCATCCCTCCAGTAGTGATAGCCCCAGATGCCTATAGACATTCAACCATGTCCCCATGGTCAGACAGGCCCACAAGAACCACGGTGCTAGAGAAGTCACTGTTCCTGCTTTTCCCCGGAAGTCAGGCTGGCGCTGTAGCTGGACCAGTGTGCGCTGGCTAGAGGTCCTTGCCTGCCTCCGCAGACCCTCCACAGCCCCCCTGGTTCTCTTCCTGTGGATCCCTCAGCACTACTGATGTGTCCAGGGTAGGTAGGTGCGCCTGGCACTCCTTGGACTCTGCCTGGACACTCCAGCTACCACAGACCCCAGAACATGGTGAAACCTCCCCCTGCTTTCTGGCCTTGTTTTTCTACCTCTCCTTTTATACCTTGTGGAGCTGGTGGTTTTATGAACTGATAATGAATTCTCCAAGATGCCTGTTAGAGATTATCTTTATAAATAATGGCGGGTCTCACCAAAACCTTATTTAAGTGAAAACTATTAAATTATTTGAAAGAAGAATGTTACTTTATACAACACATTTTGTTGCATGAACTTTTACTGGACTGACAAACAAACTTCTTTTCACCCCTAGTTAGATCACCAATGACACACGCACACAGAAAAATCGGTTCTGCATAGCCAGGCACAGTGACACACACAAATTAATCCTAGCGCTTGGGAGGCAGGTGAATCTCGCTTTGAGTTGGAGACCAGCCTGGTCCACACAATGAGTGTCAGCACAGCCAGGTCTATGTAGAGAGATCCTGTCTCAAAACAAAACACAAACAAAAAAATGGTTCCAAGTCTAACTCCATAAACCAATGAGGGTTTTTTGTTTTGTTTTGTTTATTTGTTTGAGACAGAGTCTCACTGTGTAGCTCTGGCTGTCCTGGGAACTCACTATATAGACCAGGTTAGCCTAGAACTCACAGAGACCCTCCTGCCTCTGCCTCTCAAGTGCTGGGGTTAAAGGCGTTCACCACAATGCTCAGTTTACCAATGAGTTTGTTTGGAGTTGTTTACAAGAACATGGGCCACTTACAGACAGCTGTACCACCAAGAAAATCTTCCTTACCCAGTAACCATTAGGGGAGGGGCCTTGTATGGCTAAACTGTTTCGTGATCTCTCCCTCTCCTCTGCGAGGGCATGCTAATGGATTCGGTCTTGTGAGAGTCTCATGTCAGTAAGCAGTTTCTCTCCTTGCAAAATGGCTACACCGTGACTACAAGAGAGCTTTATGTAATTCCTTTGTATTTCTAAGAAAGAGCATCTGGAGGCCAGGTAGAAGGCTCAGTGGGTAAAATGCTGCTATGAGGACCCAAGTTTGGATTTCCAGAACCCACATACAAAAGCCAGGCACTGTGGTGCACACATGTAACCCCAACAAATCCTGGGGATCCCTGACCAGCCAGTGATCCCAGGTATAATGAGAGGTGTTATCTCACAAAACGGAGCTCTGTAGAAGAAAACATCCAGTGCCCACCTCTAGCCTCCACATGCACCAGCGTGGGTCAGCATGCTAACACACACACACACACACACACACACACACACACACACACGCACATACAGACTCACATGCACACACACATACACACAGACACATACAGACACACACATACGCACACATACACATACACACAAACATACATATAGACACATGCAGGGTCCTCCCTGCAGGTAGAGCGGGGGAAGGGCCCATCTAGCCGGCCTCTTCCCGGGGGCTGAGCAGGATGGTGAATGTCGACAACTCAGACCCTCCCCCCATTAGTTACGGGGGGGGGGGGACACACACACTGAGTCGGGAGTCTGTCGAAGCAGGATCTCGATTTATTCCAACACGCAGGAACTTATATAGGACTGAGGTAGGGGATGGGAATCTTAGGATAGGGTAAGGTGACGTGAGGAGTTAAGGGCCAATAGTATTCCACCAAGCAGGCAGGTAGCTAGGCAGGGGGCAATCTTGCATCAGATCTGGCTGAGTCACCCCCACGTGGAGGTTACAGGTTAGAAACAGGTCACTAAACTCTAGCCAGGCTCAAGAGGTTACACTGGGCCTCACATCCAAGCCTTTCTTAGGGCCAACAGACACACACATACACACATACAGACACACATGCACACACACATACACACATATAGACACACACAGATATACACGCACACATAAACACACATGCACACAAACATGCACACATACACACATATAGACACACACAGACACAAACACAAAAAATACATATAGACATACACACATACACATATACAGATGCACATGCACACATATACATATAGACACACACAGACACACACACACAGATATACACACACATGCACACAAACATATGCACACATACACACATATAGACACACACACAGACACAGACACAAAAAAATACATATAGACATACACAAAAAAATACATATAGACATACACACATACAGATGCACATGCACACACATATAGACACAACAGACACAGGCACACATACACACATGTGCACACGTACACACATAGACACACACACACTGACACACATGCACACACACACTGACACACACACACGTGTGCCAATTTTTTTTTTTAAGGAATGAACAGATGTTGATGATGTTTTAGGATCTACTCACAAGGAAGGCAGTGAGCTGCCAGCCAGTCAGAGGAAGGAACTCCTCAGAACAGAGACATCTGTGGGCTGGCACTGATGTGGATGTGAGGCCCAGACGGCTTTACTTAGCACCAGCAGTGCTTACTGGCTATACAACTTCCTGCCAGTGGCGTGCACACAGTTCCAGAGCAAGTTGCCCTGAACCAGATGTGCCTTAAGTGACATGGCAACATAGAATTTCCCCTTGGTCTCCCAATTTTGATAAAAAAAATAATCTTTTAAGATTTATTTTTATACATGTGTGTGTATGTATGTTGCATGTGTGGGAGTACCCATAGAGGACATCAGATTCCTCAGAGTTGGCAGATCTTTGAGTTTGAGGACAGCCCTGTCTACAGAGTAAATTCCAGGACAGCCAGGGCTACACAGAGAAACCTGCTTTGAAAAAAAAAAAGGAAAAAAAAAAGTTACCTCCTTTCCAAGGCTGGACAATACTCCATTATCAGGATCTAGGATGGAGTTCAGTACTCATGCTCTTGCTTCATATGTGAGGGTACCTAGGTTCAACCAAGTTCAGTATCACAAGGGTGGAAGGAAAGGCAGCTTCAAACATTCATTGGGTGAGTGTAGTGGTCTGAAAGAAAATGGCTTCCGTAGGTCCACAGGAGGCAGCATTATTGGAGGTGTGGCCTTGTTGGGAAAGCTATGACCTTGTTAAAGGAAGTGTGTCGAGCCGGGCAGTGGTGGCGCACGCCTTTAATCCCAGCACTCCGGAGGCAGAGGCAGGCGGATCTCTGTGAGTTCAAGGCCGGGCTGGACCGACAGCCTCCGAAACAATACAGAGAAACCCTGTCTTGTAAAAACCAAAAAAAAAAAAAAAAAAAAAAAAAAAAAAAAGGAAGTGCGTCATTGGGGATGGGCTTTGAAGTTCCAGGAGCTCCAGCCAGGTCTGCTGGCTGCAGATCCAGATGTAGAACTCTCAGATCCTCTCCAGCAGCATGTCTGCCTGCTTCCTGCCATGCTGATAATGGACTAAACCTCTGAACTGTAAGCCTGTCCCAGTTAAATGCTTTCCTTCATAAGAGTTGCTGTGGTCATGATGTCTCTTCACAGCCATAGGAAACTAAGACAGTTGGGGAAACGGGTCCTTGCTGCCTTGTCTCTTGACTGTGGGGCTCAGTCAACCTACCTCAGCCTCCTGTTAGCCCGTCCGATGGGTGATAGGTTGCTCTGTCTGCATGTGAGCCATGCTGCAGCCCGTGTGGGTGCAAAATTGGCACTGTAGGGCTTTATCCACAGCTAGCTGGGCAGCATTTGCCTTTTGGGGTTAAGTTCCCTTTTCCCGGAGCCCCGAGATTACACGACCTCTCAGTTCCTCGAAGGACCCTGAAGTGATGCAGTTCTCACCACTGGTCAGGTCCTGCTGGATCCTCTGAGGGTATCACATTCCAGAGTAAATGTACGGCTTACATCTGGTTCCCAGATGCCATCTGTCATGGTTTTTTTTTTTTGGTTTTATGAGACAGGGTTTCTCTGTATTGTTTTTGAGGCTGTCGGTCTAGCCTGGCCTGGAACTCACAGAGATCCGCCTGCCTCTGCCTCCTGGGATTAAAAGCGTGCGCCACCACCGCCCGGCTTTTTTTTTTTTTTGTCAGTTCTTCAAAGGGTGGATGTTAAGCAGAGGCCACTGCATGGGCTTCAGGGGTAGCACCTCCCCTCAGCTGCTTCACCTGAGCCATTACCTCAGACCCGGGTTCTGCCCACCCTCAGACTGTGTCTGGTGGGGAAAGAGAGAGTTCAGGAGTTACAGCAGAGTGGGGCTTGCATGTTCTGCAATCTGGTAGGCAGCCATGTCAGGATCAGGGTAGGGTAGACATGCTTCTTCTACCACAGACTAGGATGAGACGGGCAGTGAGAGGCTGAGCATGCAGCAGCTAATTGAGTAGCAGCGGAGGCAGCTGGCTAATTTGTTCGCCGGTAGGTTCTTGTCTTTGTGGGGTCACCTAGCAAAATCCTCTAGCCTGCCTCTCATAGTCCCAAGCTCTGGAAGCAGCCCCCTGGGATGTGGAGGTCCCTCTGACGGTCCTGAGGAGTTCTGGGTAGAAGGTCTTGTTCGTGGTGGGTGGGTGGGGCTTTCAGAGGCGTTTAGAAGGGGTAAGAGGGAGCCTCCTGGGTAGGGGAGGGGGGACTGGTAGAGGTATTAGGACCCTATGGTAATCGGGTGCAAGCTGCGTTTGGAGAGGTCTTCACAGAGAAGGCGGTGTGTGTAGGAGCTCGGAGGTCTCCACAGAGAGGGCAGTGGGTGCAAGAGCTCTGAGCAGAGACCCCATGTACCAGAGTGAGTGATGAGAAGCTCAACTCCCTTCCTCCTCCCCTCACTTGCCAGATCAGCTCACGTAGCCCCGCTGGGTTCACCACCCCGGCCCTGCGCCAGGCACATAGCTAGTCTGGCGTTGTTTGGAGGCTGAGCCACAAGTCATCAGGTTCTCAGACCCTCCCTCCTTCTTCAAAATCTGGAAACATGTCTTTAGAGCATCCAGGCCAGTTCAGGGCGGCTGTTAGCACATATGGGGCCTCTCTCCTGTAGGCCTTGGGACCCTGAGGGCGTTATCTTCTTTGCTTTCGCTTCCCAGAAACAGAGTCTGTGTAAGTAAGTGTGGGTGCCTATGACTGGGTGGTGTTTTGTCTGTTCGGCCCACAACCCTCCATACTGCCATTGTCATTCCACCTCTGGCCAACAGAGGGCACTGCCAGACAGCCATGTTAACCTCAGGATTCTGTGGGGGCTGGTGCCACCTAGTGTCCTCCTCAGGGGAAGAGGGGCCGGTCTTCTGCTGTGTAGAAGAGGGGAAACAGAGAGCGCACTGAAGACGGCAGGGGAGAAGCCAAGCCCAGTTCATAACGAGGCAAAGACAGATAGGAAACCCAGGAGGAACCTCCTCTAGGCCTCCGACCCCTCCCCAGGGCTGAGGTGGGCATGTTGCATGCTGGGTAAGAGCCTGATGTGACAGGTAAGGACCTTTCCACCAGCCCACCCCACCCTCAGTCTGGGACATCCGCAGTGGCCAGCAGAGTCGGACCTGTGGGTTCCTGACTCCGCCTTTGATGAGGAGATGCAGATCGCTGGTCCAGTCTCCCGGTGATGCTGCGGTGTGGTCCTCCTGCACCTACTCTCCTACCCACATCCATCATCCCTGGGGAGCCGTTCTCATCCCCTCTCACAGCAGGAGTGACCGTGAGATGCTGGGCTCGGCGTTGGTGGCAAGAGCTGTCCTCCACCCGGGCACACGCGGGGCTTCTGTAGTCTCTTCCTCAGGGGATAAGCCTTCACGGAGAAAAAGAGGTTCATTCCCCCACACCGGGACCCATCCTGGGCCAGTTGCCCTCCGAACCCCGTCTACAGCAAGAGAGGCAGGCTAGGGCTGGAGTGGTAGGCATCAGTGCCCGCCCCACTTTGTACACGGTTTGTCGCACATGAAGATTCTGGGGTTGACCATGGTCTATGTGACAGTTGTTAGATTATTTATAGGGGAGTTTGGAGGCGTGAAGACATCTCCTGAAGTCTGGGATCCTGCTGTGTGCCCCCCCCCCCCCGCTTGTGCTGGTCACGCCTAGAGTCTCCCTGAACCTCTGGCCTTGAGTCCTCCTACCTCTTTCTGTCCGAACGTCCTTCCAGCTCAGGCTGTGTCTACCCAAGCTGCCGGCCTGTCCGTAGGCTCCAAAAGCCCTGTGCAGACCTCCCTAAGGGTCCCCCACCCTCTAGCTCCAGCTCAGGTACCCGGTTGCCCCTTCCTAGTTACCTTAAGTGGGACCTTCCTGACATTGCTTCAAAGCAGAGCCTTTAATGGCTGTTTAAGATTCATAATTAGCATGCTAATGTCCCCATCCACATCTCTGGGCACTCCCCATGTCTGAGTTATCGTCCTTCAGCTGTAGGATAACAATGCCTTGAGGTGCTCACTCACTCCCCTGGGAACTCCTGGACATCAGCTTTCTGGGTGGAGCCACCAGACCTGGGGGTGTGCTCTGGGAGGAGGAGCCTCCCAAGTCCCCACTCTAGTCACCTGTCTGCCAGCCCTTCCCCCATCCGCTGGCTCCTGCTAAGCGGGGAGTAAAGGGAGCTGGTTTTGTGCGAGTCGGGAATGCACTTTTGATGGGATTTGCTTTATTATGTTTAATTGAAAAGCACTGAAGTTGACTCATGAATATTCAGGTTGGAGTCTCTGGCGAGAGGCCAGTTGTTGGTGATTCAGGGACTCACCTCAGCATGGGGCCTGTCCCAAGGGGGAGTAGTGGTGGAGAAGCTATTAATTGAAATAGCTTCATTAATTAGTAATTAACAGCAGGGTAATGACTATGTCACACGTCGTATTTCAGTGATGCCCTTCATGTGTTATGGGGGCCTTTAATTAAAGGATGTGCATTTTAATTAAAGGCAAGCCTGGCCCTTTGGCCTTTGGAATACAAAAGACACTCCTGATTCAGTGAGGCTAGCGGGGAGGCTAGTGGCCATGAGGATCATAGACCGGCGCAGGAGAAGACCTTGGCCCAAGGCTACAGAAGGGAGGGAGACTGAGAGTCCCCTGTATGCTGTCCACTGATTCCCCAAGGGCCCAGAGTACTAGAAGGGAGGCCTGGGGAACTTGTCTTTAGGGACACAAAGCCCCTGGTGCCAGCTTTGGTTCCCTTCGTCATGAGCAGGTAACTGTGGTTACTCATCTATCAACTCTGTAGAGAGATTCTTTTCACACAAGGGTTCCCAGGTCTTTAAGATACAAAGTAGCACTCTGAAGCCCAGCAGGCAGAACCTTGGTGGTGCTGGGCCCTGGAAGGAAGCAGCAGTGAGAAATCAAAGCCCTGCTACCTGTCTTGATGAACAAGATTGCTTATTGCGGTTAGTGGGTTAGTGCCGTGTCTAGCTTCCCTCTTCCTTCTGGATTCCCCCCCCCGCAGACAGCTCTAAAGCAGATGACCGAGCTGCTCACTGCCTGGAGAAAGTGACTGTGGCCAGTAAGGAGGTACTTCCTTCTCAACCCTTGACACACAGCAGCAGAAACCTCCCGCACGCCCAGAAGACTAGCCATGTGCTACAGGGTCTTTTCACTACCCCAGCTCCTGCTGGAGAAACACTTGAGCAGAAAGCTGCTGGCCCCTCCCCTCTCCAGCCCTACTCCCTCCTTTCCATGCCCACCTTTCTGTCTCTACCTGTCTTTGTCTCTTCACTTACACAGAACACCTTCACGCATTGCACACACACACTTACATATGTGTAGCATGGCACAACTCACACACCCATACAAATACATGCACACACACATTCAGAATACATGGGCATATGCACACACCACCACATGTGCACATATCTGCGCGTGCACGCGCACACGTGTGCACACACACACAGATGTGCTTGTGTCTACTCAGGGCTTAGAGGTGAGAAAGAGTTCACAGGTTTTGTAGCAGTTTGGCACACATGCACTTCCCACCCTAAGGCATCCTGAGAGGTCCATAGTTGGGGTCCCTGTTTCCTTGAATTCATGAGCAGTGCACCTTGGTATCTAGCTGCCCCAACTGAAGAAAAACCAAGAGCCCCTCACCTGGCCTGGGAAGTAGAGGCATCCTTTTCCTTTCTCACTCGACTGCCAGATGGAAGCGGCTGGCTGCAGGAGGTACCTGGGTATCCTTGTTCCCTGGGAGAGGGCAGGAGTTCAAGTTTCGTGCCCCTCTCTGGCAAAAGCAGGCAAAGGGGCGGAAGGTGCATAGGAGGCAGAGGCCATTAAAAATGTGGCCGCACATCCTTCACTCTGGCTGATTTTGGTGGCTTCAGAAGCTAGACCGTGGCTTCTGCAGCTTTCCAGCCCTGCATGTTTCTGGGACACTTAGTGTTGGGACCCAGTTGCCATGCTGAGCAAAGATTCCTAACACCCCATGACCCAGAAAAGCTGGCTCAGGCCTGAGTTCCTCTTTTCTTTTCTTCTCCTTTCCTTTCATTTCTTTCCCTTCCCTTTCTCTTCTCTCCTCCTCCTCCTCCTCCTTCTTCCTTTGAGATTTTTAAATTTTTATGTGTATGGGTGTTTTGCCTGCTAACCCTAACCAGTGGAGGCTGTCAGATCACCTGGGACTAGAGTTTCAGATGGTTGTTAAGCAGCCATGTGGGTGCTGAGAATTGAGCCCTTGAACTCTGGGAGACAGCCAGTGCCATTAACCACGGAGCCAGCTTTCCAGGTGGCTTTGTTTGCTTGTTTGTTTTTGAGACAGGGTCTCTCTGCACAGTCTTGGCTGTCCTAGAACTTACTATGTAGACCAGGCTGGCCTTGAACTTAGAGATCTGCTTGTGGACTGCTTCCCGGTGCTAGGAATAAAAGCATGTGCCACCACACTCGGTCTTTCAAGGGGGTTGTTTCTTAAATAGCAGCCACTTCCACCGTAGATTAAGGGCGGGGGACCCACAGGAAAGGAAGGACCAGACCAGCATCCCAATGCCAGACCAGGTCCTAGGACTCTGAACCAAGATCACAGGCTGCAGAAGATAAGGAGCCGACAGGACCAGGTGAGGTGCTTGGGAAGAGGGAGTCTGAGCGAGGACAGTGACAAGCTGTGGATGAAGAGGGGGGCTGCTTTATAGGAGTGGGCATTTCCAGGTTGAGCCTTGTGGCCAGAGAATGTAGAGTGTACACTAGGCAGTGTTGCCTGCGCCTCCAGTTCAGTCCAGTCACCACCCTCAAGAGTTTCTGCTGCTCCACGCCTCAGTTTGCTCGTAACTGCGGCTTGGAAGGCATTTGACCAACATCGACAGCCCTGCCTTATCTCAAAGCTGTGCCCAGTCTTATCAGAGTGGGCAGCCAGACCTCAGAGCTACTTCGGGGAAAGCCTTTAGCTGGGAGAGTCTGTGCCAAGGTCATGCTGGTGGAGACACTAGTAAGCGCGCAAGATAGGTGACATAAAGCATAACCTGTCCGATTAAATTATTTAGAGCATTTGATGTTAACTACCGTCCTCCAAACGCGTGAGTGGTCCCCATGCTCCCGCCTTCTTTGGGTCAGAGTGCAGGCTGGAAACGTATCCTAGTATTTCCCTAGGCTCATCAAGAAAAGCAAGACTTGCGTAGGGCCACAGGGAACCTTGCATCTGACGGCAGAGGTGTCAATGTCCACACAGACCAGCCTACACCTCACCTCTGGCTTTCTGGGATTTTTCTGATCATCTGGTCACCCCACCATCTAAGAGCCTTGTGCTTGTGTTATATACGGAGTGGAGAACTTTCCTGCGGACACTCCCTGCATGTAGCGGCCTCTGTCTCTGCAGTTGACCTCAGTCAGGGTTTTTGAAGTCAGCGAGGCAACCCTCCAAGTCTTTGGGACTGGAGCCTGGGCCTCCATTATCACCCAGCTGACCTACCCACAGGCCTGGCTCCCTCTTCAGTAGACAAGTCTCTCTCCCTCCAGCCCAAAGCCAACATGGGAAGTCAGGGGAAAACTCCCAAAATTCTGGAGTCCCCTTCTGTCTGGGTTCAGGTGGCACGTATCGCTTTTGTCCTCTGTGAGGGCTGAGTGTGATGACGGCACTGGAGATGGGACTCTGCCTCTATGGGATCCTGGGAGGGATGGGATCTTGTCTGTGGACCCCTGCTTCCTTCTAACTGGTCTTAGGGCTTCCAACATTTCCCCCCCTTGTCGTGTTTAATTGGCTAAAGAGACTGTCACCAGTGCTAGTTTCTGTGTGACAAACATGCAGCATGCAGTGGCCACGTGGTTGGATCAGAGTTGACCCTCCTCCACCCTCTCACAGTCACTGAATTCTCCAGTCTGATGTCCTAGTTGATTTGGAGTCTAATTGTTAGACTTGCAGCTTACTCATCCATCTGCCCCTATTGGACAGCAAATGACCCCCCAGCCAGGCCCAAGGGCCAGGCAGCCAAGAACAGGCAAAAAATCTCGGCTAAGGGCATTCTTGGGAGCCAGATCTGCCGCTGACCAGAGTCTCTTGGGAACCTCTCTCGGTGGCCCGTGGGGTTCTGTCCCTTTGGCCGGCAGCAGTCAGGGATGTAAGCCCCCTCATTCCTGCCCATTGAGCTTTGCCCATGGTGGAGGCTCTTGCCCCTCAAATCCAATGTTCTTCCGTATTGAGTAGATTGCAGGCAGCCAGTGCCCTGGGCCAGTCTCTCTCTAGCTCTCTCTGTTCTTAGGAGACAGATGGACACTTGCATTAATGTCCCAGCAAAGGAGACTCTCTGACTCTCTGCCTTTTTAATTGGTTCCCCTGCTTGTCTCCCTGACCTCACCCTGGGCCCGTGAGTGTCTGTCATGAGGCATCTTTGGAATTGGCCTTAATTGGCAGCTTCTTGCACTCTTACAGGGATGGCTGGACTGCAGCTGCCCCCTGGTGGGTGAGGAGCCCACCTGCCCCCTGGTGGTGAGGACAGGACCATATGTAGAAACACTGGGGACAGGCTCTGTCCAACCCTGTGGGATTAGCTGCTCTTAACAGCTGGCTATCAAATTCAGTTTCCGTGGCAGGGAGAGGACCCTCAGCATGTCTACAACCACTGTATTTGTGGTCCCGTTCAGAGCAGTGGCCCCAGGAAGCAATGGCCGTGCTCCCACACCCATACCACATGTGTGGCCCACTGGGTCCTGCCCCAGGAGGCCCTGGCTTCCTCTCATAGCCTTGTCTTGCTACTCACAAAATCCCTGCATCTTCATCTCACAAAGACAGGGTTGGTGTCTGTTTGCTTGCGGGCAGGATTCAAAGGGGTTTGAAGAATAAATGTTTTCCTAAGTTTTAGCTGACATTTAATTTTAATGACTTTCTAAACAAAGTAACTATGGGTTGAGTGCCTTTTCATGGTTTGCTGATGTCTGACAGGTGTTTTGCCCATGTGGGAAGCAGCTGTGGAAAGCGTTTTCCTAATAGCTCATAAATAACAAGCACTTAGCATCTCTCTTTGTAGGTGGCGCTGCCAATGGCCAATTTGTTCCTCAGAAGTGCCCACGTTGGCCTGTCAATCAGTTTTTGCCGTAGGCACTTTTTGGTGATTAGAAGCCCCTTGGAGAGCGAGGACTCCAAATTAGTTTTAAATAAAAAATAAGAATATTCATGTTGCTGAACATCTAAAGGCAGGGGGACAGCAGAACTGGGCCAGTGGCTCTGGTCCCAGTGCCACAGGGGAGAGGCTGTGGGCCCAGACCCACCGGGGTCCCCAGGGACCCGATGCAGGCAGGTGAAACAAAAAAAGCCACCAAAGTGGGGGCGACAGGCTCAGGACTCTCTCAAACGGAAGGAGCATCATGGACGGTGACATTGCTGTTTTGAAAACACAGCAGCCACAGGAGAGGGGCACCACTGTGTCTCAGGACAGGATGTAACTGGCAGATTCCAGGCAGGAGTGTTTCATGTCACTGAGCCTTTGCTGGGACATGAAAGCTCATTCGAGGAGCAGTGAGGGATCAGCCCCGTCTCCTCGAAAGAAGAACAAATGTCCCTTTTGAAGAAGTTGCATTGAGCAGAGCCAACTCCTGCAGCACGATGGATGCTATCCCTTCGGGAACCCGATTCCTGTTGCGGAGGCTCCGGCTCAGAGGAGGTCGGCCCCTGGCCAAGGCTGCAGCTTCCAAAAGGCAAAACAAGAACTTAGGTCCAGGTTTGGGTCCAGACCCCCAGTAGGACTGCAGTGAGCTACCCCTGAGGGCAGTAAGAGGGGTGGTAGCTCTGCAGCTCCAGAGTAGGCACCAGAGAGAGAGAGAAGAGATTGGGGTGAGCATGAGCCAATCCTGAGAAACCAGCTCAGGCGATGTTGGGCCCCAAGAACGCTGAGGGCCTGTAGCTTCAGGATCCAGATCCAGGCTCAGGTGGTTTAACCGTGCCTGCTAAACTCCACTTGGATCAAGCCTTCTCTGTCTTGGTCCCTTTCACAGAAGCGGGCAGTGACCGGCACGGCCTCCCCGCTACTCCTTGTGCTGTCTGAGGTGCTGAACTTGCACCACGCGGCTCAGGACACAGGGATACCTGTGTAGTGTAGAATGGTCGGTGCCTAAGTTTAAGGATATCAGGGAGACTTCTCCAAGAAGGTAACACTGAGGAGAGATGGGAAGGGTGCTGGGCCTCAGTCATATGTGCAAAGGTTTGGAGGCTCTGAATGTGTCAGCTATGGAGAAGTTTCTGGAGAGGAGGTGAAAGGGGAAGTGGGAGTTAGTCAGGTTCAGAAGGGTCTGGAAGCAGGGAGAACCTGGGTACAGAGATATTGGCTGTTGGGTCCTATCTGGAAGACGTAACGTGTTCTGTAACAGGCCAACCTCTCTAGGCATGGGATGTATGTATACATGGCAGGCAGTGGTCTTACCCCAAATGCACCCTCCCAATATGCCCTAGGCCCCTTCCCATCTCCCTGTTTCCTTCCAGAAACTTCCAGTACCACAGTCATCAAACCTCATAGGGATTCTATTTCCCTTGGAGTCTAATCTGTCCGTCATGGTGTCAACTGTCAATTCTCCAGGGCTGGGACTGAAGGTCTTTTTGGCCTAACCCCAAGTCTTGGAGCAGTGGGACTGGAGCCTGGGAAGTGTTTAAGTTAAGAGCATTCAGCATCGGGGCTGGAGAGATGGCTCAGAGGTTAAGAGCACTGACTGCTCTGTCAGGGGTCCTGAATTCAATTCCCAGCAACCACATGGTGGCTCACAACCACCTACAATTCAATCTGGTGTCCTCTTCTGGCAGAACACTGTATATGTAATAAACAAATAAATCTTAAAAAAAAAAGAATGTTGAGTATCAGGTTCCATCGCCCTTGCCCGCTCTACTATGTAATCTTTTG